TGCATTAAAGACTAAAAGTAAGGGCCGGCAACGCGGACCGGGCCAGCTAGTCTTATATATATAAAAGAAAGTTGTGTTAGTTACTACGCTTTTAACTTAAGAACCGCTGGACTGATTTTAACGATTCATACAAATTCGTAATTGTCTCCTCTCCGAAAAGGATAATATCCAAAAAAAATCGCGTAAAAATGTGATATTTTAACATTTTCATTTTGACTTTTGAAATGTACAATAGTAATGTTTTATTTTGCATGATTTTTTCCATTTTGACTTACTTTTTTCTAATGTACATTTGTAGTGTTTTTTATTTTTTATTTTTGAATTCAAATATTAATACCAAATTATTTAATTGACTTGATTTCTTGAGAAATGAAATTGATGGCGAGTTACATGGAAATGTAGTACCAAATTATGTGATGGCGAAACGGAATAGATGATGTCGAAATAATTTAATGGAATCGAATTTTAAAATAGAAGTACATTCTATTGACAAACTATATAAGGATCTTTAAACATTTGCTGTAAAAAATCAGCGAACAAGTTGAAGATTTTTTCAATGTGTTATTCTTCTTTTGTCATTTTTTTCAATTTGTATTATCCAATTGAATTCAGTAAATTTTTTTGTGAACAAAATAAAGAATAATTTTTCACTATATACAAATTTTCACAAAAAAATGAAATGAGTGGGAAATACGATGTTAACTGACATCTACCTTTCAACTCCAGGGCCTACATCGTGGTTCAGCTGGAAGATGCGAACACATTTAAACAAACAAAAATGACCGAAAAAGCCTAATGGGGCTCATTTCAAAGCGTGGAACTACTTATTTCCTGTCACAATAATCCGTCCAATGTACAATCAGAAAAATACCAAATATAAAGGGTGGAAAATAGTAGAGCGAATGGGATTCTTAGTAAGAAAAGGATTTCTATCCTTCCAGAAATTCTTCCCAAACTTTAAGATACCTTAAATGGCTTTTGCAGGTCATGATCATAATTTTTTTTGCAGGTCATGATCATAACTCACGTATAAGGGTACAACCCGATTTCATATTTATATAACCATCGTATGATTTAAGCTATTTTTGGTGACTTGGTCACTTTTTTAATATTTTGGCCATTATTTGGCATCTTTGTTTCTAAGGAGGTAGAGAACCTCTTCGCATAAAGTTTGAAATTTTCAGAGTAGGGCCCATTTTGGTCTTGACCACATTCATTAATTGATTTGGCTAAAAATTGTATTTATGCCCCTGGGGTAGGGAACCATCATACAGATAATTGCCACATAGGAATTTATTTAAGTAAAGTCCCCACATTGGAGTATCCCCAAGTCCACTTTCACATCTAATTGGTGGTCAGAAAAGAAAATTTTGTTTTCTATTGAATTTGTAACCCCAAGAGAATATTGACTGGGCCACGTTTTGGTATAACCCTTATATAAATGTATCCCTGATTTCAGCTGTGACCGTGGTCTTGGCCACGCTTTTCAACTGATTTGGCCATTATTTGCTGTATTTAGGATACTTTTTGAGTAGAGAACCATCTTACAGAAAAATGTCAACATACGTAAATATTTTGGTACAGTCCCCATATAGTCCTCAGGCCTGCCGATCTATAGTGATGTTTACCGATTGGCGGACAACAACGCGGGTATTTTTTAATCGTCATTGAATTTTACTATGAACAAGAAAATATACTTTTTGGGGACTCTCATGCGCAATTTGATGTGCTATGGTAATGGGTGTAAAAGCGTAATTAACTTTGACTATTCAGAAATTATTTTGCCCTCCTTCCATAGTTATTTATTTCCACTTCGTCGAATCAATATTTATATTAAAATTTGTTCACCTTTATGAGGTAGATTTGTAAAATATTATGCTATGCAAAATTTGCATTAAAGACTAAAACTACGGGCCGGCAACGCGGACCGGGCCAGCTAGTAAATAAATAAATCAAAAAAGCTGTAAGTTCTGCCGGGGCAAACTTTGAATACCCCACCATTTGGTACAAATTTGGCAATTTTCAAAAGAAATAAAATCCGTTAAAAATCCTGTTAAAATCTTTAAAACACCGAATGTAGTCTTATATTAGGGTATATACGACGACGTGCACCTGCATAGGCACCTTTTGTCATAAGCTATTACAATATTCAAATTCGAAGCTTGAAAAAAATCTGTTTAAACTGTAGCTAAAATCATCAAAATACCAAATATGGGGAGGTACCATGGGGGTTATAAAACGTGAACCTGCACAGACAATTTTCTGGCATAGGCTGTAGTATCAATTACGAACTTCAAATGCGGAATTTGAAACAATTCCGGTAAATTATGTCGCTAAAATCGTCAAAATACCCAATATCGGGAGGAACCGTTATATGGGGGCTATACCAAGACGTGAACCTATATGGCCCATTTTCTCTCTTATGCTGTAGTATCTATTACGAACTTCAAATACCGAATTGGAAACAATTCGGGTAAATGTCGCTAAAATCATCAAAATACCGAATATCAGGGGTACCGTTATGTGTGGGCTATACCAAGACGTGAACCTACATGGCCCATTTTCTGTCTTATGCTGTAGTATCTATTACGAACTTCAAACACCAATTTTGAAACAATTCCGGTAAATAATGTCGCTTTAATCACCAAAATACCACATATCGGGAGGTACCCATATATGGGGACTATACGAAGACGTGGACCTACATGGTCCATTTTCAATACCAAAAGTCCTGCAGACATAATACACATTTGAGTAATTTTTTAACAACTTACTTCATTCGGAATCTAGAGGATTTTCACAGAAGGACAGACTGATAGTCAAACGCAGATTGCTAAAGCGACATAGAATTTTATGCTGATCAAGAATATATACACTTTGCGGGGTCTAAAATGTATATTTCGAGGTGTTACAAACGGAATGACAAACTTAATTGCCCTCCATACTATTGTATACATATCAAACACGATATGTATGTCCGATTCCAATAAAATTCAGAATGTGGGGCGGCATTTGGTTACAATAATAAATTTGAAAAGTTAATAAGAAATCAGTTAAGATTTGGATATAGCTACATATATGTATTCTCGGCAGATTTCTCACATTTGATGCACCCAACACGGTATGTATCTCCAATGTCAATGATATATGGAAGGATTGACGGAATTTGGCGTGAAAAAAATTGTGTCAAATTATATTTAAATTGGTTCAGATTGTAATATGATTTTATTGAGAAGCATTGACCCACATTAGGCTAACAGTAAACCAGTAAAGAAAGTCTTAAAGTCGGGCGGGCCGACTTTATGATACCCTACACCACTTTGCTAAATTAGTTGAGCTCCGCATAGCAACTAAAAGTTTTAAGGGGAGAATTCAATCATACACGTTATGATTATAATTATAATTTAAAGTTCAAATGACTAAATATGCCGAAGCATTTGTATCTTTTAAATTCGGAATTGTATTGCCCATTTGGTGCACAATTAATTTGAAATCGGATAAATATATATATATATATAAATATATATATATGGAACCTATATCCAAATGCAAACTGAGCTGTATTTGATATATTTCCGTGAATATCGTTGTTACGGAGTGCATATTACGGCTGTGGGTAACAAATATAACAAATCGGATTAACAGTATATGGGAGCTATAGGAATATCTGAACCGATCTTCACCAAATTTGACATACTAGCTTCTAGACCAAATTCGGTCGTAAGTGGAAAATATCATCCCATTTGGGCAAATATTAGACGTTTGGTTCACAATCAAGGTAAATCGGACGAAGTTATATATGGGAGCTATATCCAAATCTGAACCGATCTCTATCAAATTTAGCAAATGTATTTCTGAGCTGTATTTAATATATTTCCCCAAATATTGTTGTTACAGAGTGCATATTACGGCTGTGGAGGACAAAAATAACAAATCGGAAGAACAATATATATAGGAGCTATAGCTATATCTGAACCGATTTCGATCAAATTTGGCATACTTATTTTCAGGTCCAATCTGATCGTACTTGCAAATTTTCATACTATTCGGACTGATATTACACGTTTGGTGCACAATAAACGGCAAATCGGACGAAGATATATATGGGAGCTATATCTAAATTTTTACCGATTATCTCCAATTTCAATAGGGTTCGTCCTTGGGCCAAACAAATGATTTGTGCAAAATTTCATCTGGATAGCCCAATAAATGCGAACTGTACTTTGTTTACAAAAATACATGGACATACGGACGGACGGACATGTATAAATCGACTCAGAATGTGATTCTATGCAGATCATCAAAAGTAACTATGGGTCTATCATGTTTCCTTTTGCCTGTTACAAACAAATGCACAAAGACATAATACCCTGACCTAAAAAATCTACACAAGAATTTAATTGAGATACGCTTATTATGGGAAAGTATGTTGTTACCTCGAATTCACTAATGGCAATAGAAATACCACTCAACTTCAAAAGATTGCAGTTTCTTGCACGCTTGGCATTTGCTATGAAATTAATAAATCCGAAAGAAAACTAAATTTGTCATGTTCATGGTCAGCTGTTCCTGGCATGTTCATGCGTTTGGAGATCGAGCTTTTTGTTTGTTTACGCATTAAAGTATTACAAAAATTACATTTTTTAAATTTTTTTTAAATTGTTTTTTTTTTTTTAACAAACAAATATTCGCATATCAATTTTGAATGAATGTAAAATCAAGTGCTAGTCATATCTATAGAGATAATGTTATGATTTCTGGAAGCCTTAATGAAAATATACGTTAAGTGTATAAAAAGTTCATTTTATTCTTTTCACCTTTTTCCACTCCTTTCTTTGATATTTTTTCAATCATTAACCCTGTGATTTTAAAAAATTTATAACGTCGAAATTATTTCTTAATATTTAAACACAATAAATTGTGTAATGTTTATTTCTCAATGTTATATTATAACAATTTCTACGGCAAATGAATTAATAAATAAATATTGGTTTACTAATTTATTCGGAATGTTCTACTTTGGGATGGTAACCGTAGTCATCGGCGGTGTAGGTCACTTTGACGTGTTTGCCATCCTTGGTGACGAACTCGTATTCACCCTTGACAATCCAGGTTTTTTCATCCTCCAAATGACCTTCTTGGAAAGCACGGATTTTGTTTGTCAATTCGTAGCCATATTTGAAGTCTTCCTTGTTGACTTCACGGAATTCCTTAACGACATCGGCTTCTTCGTTGGCGAAGGCAACGGCGAACAGGCAGGCAAGGAGAACAATCTGCAAATATAAGATTTTTTATAAGACATGTTTTTGAAAAATCGTTTCCTTCACTACACTTACGGTGAATTTCATTTTGTTCTAAATGTTTAGTTTTTGTGGATTTCTTAAACTGAACTGTTTTTTGGTAACAATGCAATCCGTATTTATACGAAGACATTATTTTGTAGTTCTAGTTTTTGAAAACACAAACTGGAATTCGTTCAGTACAAATATAATTTGATTTAGTATGGCAATTCTGTGTTAATGGGTTAGTGGGAATGGGACATAAAAAGTAGTTTGGAAGATTCGCTTCATGTTTTATATAACACTAATTATATTGTTGTTGTAGAGAGAGAGGAAGAGAGTAGTTGTGTAATCAAAGATACAGGAATAATGATTTCATAGCGATATCTACCATGATGTCATATGTTCCAGACAACTCAGTAGCATTTATGATCGCGTTCGCAAATATAAAACTATTTCAAGAGTTAAATAAATTCCAATCAAATATCAATGCTACGGGAAGAATGTTGTGACTTTGAGAATACTTCAAAATAAATCCGTGTGGAACAACTGAACGGATCTCGACAAAACTCGGCAAAGAAACCTTACATCTTGTAAGGAAAATCCTTGTTATTAAGTGTATAATACGGATTTGAAGAACTTAGTTATAAAATAGTATGAAACATAAAAATGGGAGCTATAGCTAAATCTCATACCATTTGCGCTAATGTTACACATTTCGTGAACGAAGATATACATGGGGGATAGAACTACATAAGAACCGATGTCGTTAAAATTTTACAAGAGTATTTCCCGGCTGATTCTTACATATTGTACTGAAAATCAATATTACGTCATTATTATTAAATTCATTCCATTCAGGCTAATTTTACACAAGACGAGCAATCTACTTGAATTCAAGTAAAGATATAGGTCTTATATCAAAATCTGTATCAATTAATTTTGCAAGGGTTTCTTTATACCCTCCACCATACTATGGAGGGTATATTAACTTTGTCATTCCGTTTGTAACTCATCGAAATACTCATGTCAGGCCAAACAAAGTATATATATTCTTGATCAGCGTAAAATTCTAAGTCGATTTAGCGATATCCGTCTGTCTGTCTCTCCGTCTGTTGTAATCACGCTATCTTTCGAACGAATTGAGATAGAAAGCTAGAATTTTGCACACATGTTTATTTTTCCCAGTAGGCGGGTTAAGTTCATAAATGGGCCATGAAAACGCCCCCATATAACGGTACCTCCCGATATTCGAATTGTTTCAAATTTGGTATTTGAAGTTCGTAATGGATACTACAGCCTATGACAGAAAATTGTTTGTGCAAGTCTTCGTATAGCCCCCATATAACGGTACTTCCACATATAGGATATTTTGATGATTTTATCTAAATTATTCACCGTTTATTTCAAGTTTCGAATGACAAACAATGCCTATGTAGGTCCACGTCGTATAGACCCTAATATAACGGCTATATTCGGTATTTTTTTTTTTAATTGTAACAGCTTTTTTTAAGGATTTTATTTCCAAAATTCATTCATTTGAAAATTTCCAATTATTATAATCGAACCTACAGAGTGAGATGAAAAAACTGCAACCAACTTCAGACTGCTGTCATTTCTAAGCCACTGGTCCGCCAGCTGTTAGAATTTTTCCAGTGACACCTCAATATTTTGTTTGAGAACTTTTCAGAAAAAAGTTATTCGTGATGGAATTTAAGCGTGATAGTGTGATTGTTTTATATTTGGCTGGAAAAACGAAAGTAGCTATCGTTAAGGCACTCTAGCATTTAAATGTAAATAAATCTTTTGTGTCTCGTACCATCGCTCGTTACCGTGATACTGGTAGCGTAGCCCGACGTCAAGGAAGTGGACGGAAGAAAACAGCAACATCAGCAGAAATGGTTCGAAAAGTAAAGAAGCGACTTGATTGAAACCCACGTCGCAGTGGCCGAAAACATATCGCTGAACATATCGAAATATTCCATTGGGCAAATATTGAAAATGAGCTCGTAGTAAAGCCACTGAAATTGGATTTTATTAATTTTATTGAACGAAAGCAAAAATGTCGGAAATGGCATCAAGTTTTAGAATAAGTTTAGATTTTTTCGAATTGGTCACCTTTGGCACGAATTATAGACTTCAAACGGCCAATGAAACCATCACACGCTGCCCGAATTTTGCACTACCGTATTTTGGCCCATTCGACACTTGGGTATTTTTAGTGCCAACCTTGCTTTCCAAAATACTCCAGACACAATATTCCAACGGATTGGTATTTGGTGACCATTGTCCGCTGGAAATGAAACGAGGAACCTCATTTTGTAACGATACTTGAGTGGCACGTGCTGAGTGCGATGGTGCTTAGTCCTGTTGGAATGTCCGATGTTTGCATGATCAAGGCTTTAATAAACCATCCAGAATATTTTCGCGATAATATTCGGCATTTATTCTGATGCCACGGCCGATTAATGCGAGCGGAGAGCGACCATCGGCTGTTATGGCGGCCTACACCATCACCATGGCCGGCGCTTGAGTTCTGGTGGCCAACCGAAAGCTGACCTTTTTGCCAAGTAAACACGATCATTTTGTTTTGCAGTTTTTTCATCTTGCAGTTGCAGTTTTTTCATCTCACCCTGTATGAATGGCATAATTATGATACAGCAATTATTAATCAAATGCAATAAGAAAATACGATATGTTTATGGGCATTTATTTAAAATTTTCAATAGTTTGTTAGAGCTTAAAAATAGTTTAGATAACAAGTTTTGCGCTTCCAATTATGATTTTGAAGCAAACTGATTGTGGTTTTTTAAAAAATGCATAATGCAAATACATAAACTGTCTACAAACACTGTGTGGGCGGGCGAACATAAATTTGAAATATATTTAAATCGCATTCAATATATGAGTCATAATGTTTATATTTTAATGAAACACAGTGCAGACAACACAAACAAGTAAATCAGTATGTATACATACATTAAATACATTTAATAGAGAATTATGTAACATCTCCATGGTAAATAAGAATTTTTGGAAAATTAAATTTATTTGCATGTAGCAATAACAATACCATTGCTAAATCTAAATTTTTACCTCCATTTTTCGAAAGTATGCTTTGAGTGCAAAACAAGTAAAAAAGCTGTAAGTTCGGCCGGGCCGAACTTTTAATACCCTCCACCATTTGGTACAAATTTGGCAATTTCCAAAAAAAAACCGTTAAAAACTCTGTTAAAATCTTAAAAATACCGAATGCTTATACGACGACGTGGGCTTGCATAGGCAACTTTTGTCATAAATTATTACAATATTTAAATGCGAAACTTGAAGAAAAATCTGTTTATAATGTAGCTAAAATCGTCAAAATACCGAATATGGGGGGTACCGTTATATGGGGGCTATACGAAGACGTGGACCTGCACAGATAATTTTCTGGCATGGGCTGAAGTATCCATTACGAACTTCACATACGAAATTTGAAACAATCCCTGTAAATAATGTCGCTAAAATCATTAAAGTACCGAATATCGGGGGTACCGTTATATGGAGGCTATATGAAGACGTCGACCTACATGGCTCATTCTTTGACTTTGGATGAAGTATCCATTACGAACTTCAAATACCAAATTTGAAACGATTCCGGTAAACAATGTCGCTAAAATCATCAAAATACCAAATATCGGGGGGTACCGTTATATGGGGGCTATATGAAGACGTGGACCTACATGGCTCATTTTTTGATTTAGGATGTAGTATCCATTACGAACTTCAAATACCAAATTTGAAACGATTTCGGTAAACAATGTCGCTAAAATCATCAAAAAACCGAATATCGGGGGTACCGTTATATGGGGGCTACAGGAAGACGTGGACCTGCACAGATAATTTTCTGTCTTAGGCTGTAGCATCCATTACAAACTTCTAATGCCAAATTTGAAATAATTCCGGTGAATAATGTCGCTAAAATCATCAAAATACCGAATATCGGGAGGTACCGTTATATGGGGGCTATATGATAACTTGGACCTACATGGCCCATTTACGAACTTAACCTGCCTACTGGGAAAAAATACATGTGTGCAAAATTTTAGCCTTCTATCTCAATTTGTTCGAAAGATAGCGTGATTACAACAGACAGACAGACAGACGGACAGACAGACAGACAGACGGACATGGCTAAATCGTCTTAGAATTTTACGCTGATCAAGAATATATATACTTTGTTGGGTCTGACATGAATATTTCGAGGAGTTACAAACGGAATGACAAAATTAATATACCCTCCATAGTATGGTGGAGGGTATAACATTGTGGCAAAACCATCAATATGCATAAGGATGAATGCTCCGCTATACATAATATTTCATTTGTATGAAAATAAGAAATTGCATATGCCAGATACAAAATTGAATTTAACAAGTAAAGAAAGGATGTTCGGGGCTGACTTTATATTACCCAACTCCAAGATGCATAGTACAGCTAATCATAATGTACTAACGTTTATATTCGGAATTTATATGAAGTAAATGATGCAAAATATGATCGTTGTTGATAGCGTGTTACGGCTTTAGAACGGTGTAAATTAAAAATTGGACTAACGTATGAATGTCATGTCTTAAACTAAATCGCTTTAAACCAAATTTGATGCAGATATTTTTTTATGTTTTCGGGCCAAAAATCACTGCAATAAAGCGCATGGTATGACTTTGAGAAGATTGAAATTTTCATCGGCTAAAACATATGGAATGTTATCTTCCAGAAACGGTAGATCACATTGCAAACTCCAAATGCCAACGTTTAGAAAATTTCGTTGAAAAAATCATCCAATTAAACTTTATATACTTGGACCTATATGGACAGTTCTTTCCAAGGATGTTTTGGGCCCACAAACTGGCCGGACATAATCCCCATGAAAAGTATGACTGTCTGCTGTTGGTTAAGTCCGAAAATTTTACAAACATAATCCTCAGAAGAAAATAAAGCTTAAGTTGAGTTTATGGCCTATGCTCGGATTGACCTGAACTTAAAAAGAAAATAAATTACGTAGGTATTTATACCCTACACCACATAGTGTCGGGTATTACGTCTTTGTGCATTTGTTTGCAACATGGAAAAGAAAGCGAGGTAGACTCATAGTTACTTTTGAGGATCTGTCCATGTATTATTGTAAACAAAATGCAGGTCGATTGAGATGAAATTTTCCAAACAACATTTGTTTGGCCCAAGGACGAACCCTATTGAAACTGGTGAAAATCGGTTCGAATTTAGATATATCTCCCATATCTTCAACCGATTTCGGGTTAATTGTGTACCAAATGGCCAATTTCAGTCCAAAAGAACTAATTTTTGGCACATCCGATCAAATTCAGTCTAGAAGCAAATACATCAAATTTCGTAAAAAGCTCCCATACATACGTTTCATCCGATTTGATGCTAAAGTCCCTCACATGCGTAATATGTACTCCACAACAATCATATTTGATACTAGACATCAGATACAGTTCGAAAATACCTGTGCCAAATTTTATCGAGATTTTTATATAGCTTCGATATACATCTTCATCCGATTTTACGGTTATTTTTCACCATTTATGTAAGGTGAGCTCAAATTAGATAAAACTCTTTATATTGACATATCGGTCCACGTTTTGGTATAGTCCCCATATAACGGTGCCTCCCGATATTCGGTATTTTGATGATTTCACGGATTTGTCTTAAAATTGGTATTTGTAGGTCATAATAGGTCCTAGTTCGTGTGGTGGAATATTGTATGGTGGTGGCGAAACATTGCATGTAAAGGTCCACGATTTGGCATAGCCCCCATATAATAGTACCTCCCGATATTCGGTATTTTGATGATTTTTGCCACGAATATGTCTAAAAATTTGTATTTGTGGGTCACAATGGGTTCTAATGTTTCGTTTCCCCTATTAAAAGTTTGGCCCGGCCGAACTTAATGGCTTTTAATTGTTTAATATTACCCTTATCGAAGTCATAAACTTTTTTGTTACGGGAGATCTTCAGAATACGCATAGTGGATTAGGGTATCATATAGTCGACCCCGTCCAACGTTCGACCTTTCCCTACTGGTTTTAACATGCTTAACTGCATAGTTATTTTTGTCGTGGGGGATATATGGGGTTATTCGACCCGAAAGTTCGTATACCAAATTCGCATTTTATGCAATTCTACAAAACTGATATGTTCAAAACTACAAGAGATATCAGCACATTTTGCACCATTTTGGAAAGCAGGGGTATAGGCTATAATGTAGTAGGTAGATCTTGATTCCCAATAATAGGTCCATTTTCGTTTTTAGGGAGTTTTCAAAAAGTCCAGATACAAAATTAATCATTTTTTTACTGCTCCGGAACCGGTTCAAACAACCATCGTATGACCAGTTGTTGGATAGGCATTTTCATAAGCTTGAAAATCGTACCTTGAAAGGATGATACATTTTGTACATATCAATTTTCTAGAACCGAATTTTGTATCCGAACTTTCGGATCGACTAACCGTGCAACCGGGTATTTCCCCCACGAAAAAAATTACTTTGCCGTTTTGGGGTTTATGTCCGCTGTTTCTGGGGATTATGGCCGATTTTTACGAAGATTATGGGAATTATTTCCTTTTTTGGCCATAACCCCATAATGGAATGGGGATTATGTCCGTGGGGCTTATGAAACGACAACTATAACGATACCAATCGATATTCTATATTCAGCTAATTTAAAGTCTTAATATTTAGCGAAATCGTTTAAAATTCGTATGTAGAGTTCGCCATGGGTTCTATCTTCTGTGAGAGAATATGCCGGAATATATCCATGATTTTTTACTCCTCCATCTAGCGGTAACTCGGCATATTTGGTATTTTAGTGATTGTAGCTACAGTTTTCAACAGAATTGTTTGAATTTTGAAATTCGCAATAAATAACAACCGCTCACACTTAACGACACCGTTAGCTTTTTCAGACTTTTTACTAACCGATTTTACTTGCAAAAATAGAACTGACTCGAATATTACATCCCAGTACTATTATTTTTTTTAAGATTTTCTTTACTTGTTACCCAATTTACTGTTCAATACGGATATTCTCTTCGTATGATAAATGACAACAGGGCTTCACTACGTCCATGAAGTGAGGTACGGAAATTTGATGCAATATATTTCAAAATTACGGTTTAAATCACAGATTTTCAAAATATGTATAGTAATCGATATGTAACATAGCATACCTTACCATAAATTAATCAACTAACCTTGTTTGAAAACGAAACATTTCTCTCAATAGGAATTTCCTGGTTTTAGTAAGGATTTCATAAATAGATATTGGAATGCAAGTGCACGCAAGAATTGACAAAACATGACAGACACATGTGCATTTACTACAGAACCTAATTAAAAACTAGAAAACTATTCCAAAAATAACTGTTACCGACATACTAAATCAAATTTCACATTCCGGTTTCGCTATCACTTTCAGATTTGAACTACTCCACGAATTTCCCATATAAATTCAGATTTCAGTTTTAGATTAATCAGTTCAAATTTCACTTGAGAACCAAACTAGAATCAAAATGAAATTCTCCGTGAGTATTGGGTGGAGAAACACTTTCTAAATAAAATTTTAATAACCAATTGTTCTACAGATTGTTCTCCTTGCCTGCCTTTTCGCCGTTGCCTTCGCCAACGAAGAAGCTGATGTTGTCAAAGAATTCCGTGAAGTCAACAAGGAGGACTTTAAATATGGCTACGAATTGACCAACAAAATCCGTGCTTTCCAAGAAGGCCATTTGGAGGGTGAGAAGACCTGGTTGGTCAAGGGTGAATTTGAATTCGTCACCAAGGATGGCAAACACGTCAAAGTGACCTACACCGCCGATGACTACGGTTACCATCCCAAAGTAGAACATTCCGAATAAGAATGTAGCATATTGTCTGTTAATAAATTAGTACATCAATTTTTTAGAAAATTACCTGAAAATGTCTTTAAATAATAATTGGTTTGGCGGCCAATATCAGAGTAGGTACAGGAGTTTTAATCGACCCGATTAATCGACTCGGGGCCGATTTTATGATACCCTACACCACTTTGCTAATTTAGTTGAGCTCCACTTAATAATTAAAAGTTTTTATGGGAGAATTCAATCATACACGCTATGACTATAATTATAATTTAAAATGCAAAGGACTAAATATTCCGAAGCATTTGTATCTTTTAAATTCGGACTTGTATTGCCCATTTGGTGCGAAATTAATTTGAAATCGGATAAAAATATATATGGGAACTATATCCAAATCGGAACCGATCTCGATAAAATTTGGCAAAGATATTTCTGAGCTCTATTTGATATATTACCCTGTTACGGAGTGCATATTACGGCTGTGGGTAACAAATATGACAAATCGAATGAACAGTATATATGGGAGCTATAGCTATATCTGAACCGATCTTCACTAAATTTGACATACTAGCTTCTAGACTCAATTCGGTCGTAAGTGCCAAATTTCATCCAATTTGGGCAAATATTAGACGTTTGGTGCACAATCCAATGTAAATCGGACGAAGTTATATGTGGGAGCTATATCCAAATCTGAACGGATCTCGATAAAATTTAGCAAATGTATTTCTGAGCTATATTTGATAAATTTCCTCAAATATTGTTGTTACAGAGTGCATATTACGCCTGCGGAGGACAAAAATAACAAATCGGATGAACAATATATATGGGAGCTATAGCTATATCTGAACCGATTTCAATGAAATTTGGTATACTTATTTTGAGGTCCAATCTGATCGTACATGCGAAATTCCATACTATTCGAACTGATATTACACGTTTGGTGCACAATAAAAGGCAAATCGGACAAAGATATATATGGGAGCTATATCTAAATTTTTACCGATTATCTCCAATTTCAATAGGGTTCGTCCTTGGGTCAAACAAATTTTGTTTGCAAAATTTCATCTCAATCGGATAATAAATGCGACCTGCATTTTGTTCACAAGAATACATGGACAGGCGGACGGACGGACGGACAGACGGACTGACATGCATAAATCAACTCAGAAAGTGATTCTATGCAAATCAACAAAAGGAACTATGGGTCTATCTCATTTCCCTTTGCCTGTTACAAACAAATGCACAAAGACATAACACCCTGACCACCTTGTGGTGTAGGGTATAAAAATGATACAAGTAAAGAAGCAGTAAGTTCGGCCGGGCCGATCTTTGAATACCGTCCACCATTTGGAACAATTTTGGCAATTTTCCAAAAAAAAAAAAATAAAATAAAATCCGTAAAAAAATCTTTAAAATTCGGACTTGTATTGCCCATTTGGTGCAAAATTAATTTGAAATCGGATAAAGATATATATGGGAACTATATTGAAATCTGAACCGATCTCGATAAAATTTGGCAAAGATATTTCTGAGCTCTATTTGATATATTTCATGCATACTACAGCTGTAGGTAACAAATACAACAAATCGGATGAACAATATATATGGGAGCTATAGCTATATCTGAACCGATCTCGATAAAATTTAGAAATGGTATTTCTGAGTTGCATTTGATATATTTCCCCAAATATTGTTATTACAGAGTGTATATTACGGCTGCGGAGGACAAAAATAACAAATCGGATGAACAATATATATGGGAGCTATAGCTATATCTGAACCGATTTCGATCAAATTTGGCATACTTATTCTCAGGCCTAATTTGGTTGTATGTGCAAAATTCCATACTATTCGGGCTGATATTACACGTTTCAATTCGCTAAAGCGATTTAATGAAATACTGATGCTTTTTAGATATCGTATATTTTTAGTTCCTGATCAAAGATGATTATTAGAAATGAAAAATACCGAATATCGGAAAGTACCCTTATATAAGACTATAGTAAAAAGTGGAACAATACACTATATTCAGCCGCCAGAATTAGAACCAGTTATAAAATCATCAAAATATCGAACATCGGAGGTACTCTTATATGGACGTTACAGGAGTACGTGGACCTAAACAGAAAGTGTTCTACAAACGGATGTGGAACAAACAATAACTTATTTGGAACAATTCCGTGAACAAATGTGACTAAAATCATCATTATGGGGGCTATACGAAATCATGGAACGACATATCTCATTTTCAATACCAACCATGCACAATACCAACTATTGAGCCAAATTTAAAAGCTCTACGTCAGTTAATGTGAACTGCATCATGATTTCAACAGGCGGACGGACAGACAGACAGACTGAAACCGTTAAATCGACTTACAATTTTATGCTGACCATGATAATGTATACTTTATGGGGTATACGACGAATATTAAGAGGTTTTAAAAAGGGAATAACAAATTTAATATACCCTCCTTTCCAAGGTGGAGGCTAAAAAATAGATTCAGTGGAAGGTAGATCGGTGCGGTCCATTATATGCATTAAGACTTCTTCTACATATTTTGGCCAACGAATGTCTGCACCCAAAAATAACCAAGAATTATTGTATGTTTAGATGATGGAGCCATAGATGACTGAAGATTGTTTCGAAGTCTTTCTATTATCGTGGAGTGTATCAAGATAACTGATGTCTGTTATATCTGCCACAAGCTTTTATACTTCCATTCCATTCCATTGGCCAACCGGTTAAAATTAAATGCAATTGCTATTATTAACTATGAATTTAATAAGATAATATTTATTTTCGTTTCTTTGAAATTACAATGCCTATATATTTCGAACACGTTTCGGATGACCCAACAAACAAATTATCATTAAAATTCAATAAAATAGTAAATGTCTTAAGACGTTGTGCCGTAAACGAGGATAAAGTCATTATCCTATAGTTGGTTGCTCCAATAAGTTATTGTAACTAAAGGTTTCGTGTGAGGGAAGGGAAAAGTTGCGACAAAATGCAATTGTTTCAATATTTACAAGAAAGTTAAATAATTAAAGTATGGTTAAAATAAATGACACGTGTATCCGTTTTTTAGGTTTACATCGCAAAATAATCTTTATTAAGTAAGCTAATTCTACACTTTAAGTAAATTCCATATATAATAATAAAATCTATACAATAATAAAAACAAAATAAAATATTTATTTCCATTATGCACCACAAAAATATTCCCATCAATATTGCCAAGAAACTCTTAAATATTTCCTACATTTGTTATTACATTTTTCTAGGCCTTTTTTCGAGTCGATGCATGAATGTAATATAAAATTTGGTTTTGGACAGAATCTCTCATTTTGGTGCGAATTTTCCAAAAAAAAAGAAAGTTATTTGTGGTGGAATTCAAGCGTGATAGTGTGATTTCTTTATATTTGACGGGAAAACCACAAGTGGCTATCGTTAGAGCACTCAAGCATAAATAAATCTTTTGCGTCTCGTACCATCGCTCGTTACCGTAATACTGGTAGCGTTGCCCGACGTCAAGGAAGTGGGAGGAAGAAAACCGCAACATCAGCAGAAATGGTTCGAAACGTAAAGAAGCGACTTGATCGAAAACCACTTCGCAGTGGACAAAAAATGGCTCGTCAGCCGAACATATAACAATATTCCATTCGGCAAATATTGAAAAATGAGTTCGGGGTAGAGCCATTGATATTCCAAAAAGTGGAAGAACTTACACCGCAACAGAAAGCAAATAGCCTCAAAGAGCTAAAGTGTTGCTTCGCTTGGCCGAAAGTGGTGAACTGCCGAATAAATAAGAATAAATGCCGAATATTATCGCAAAAATATTCTGGAGGGTGTATTAAAGCCTTGGGCACGCACACATTTTGGCCGCAGACCTTGGACATTTCAACAGGACTCAGCACCATCGCACTCAGCACGCGCCACCCAAGAATGGTTACAAAATGAGGTTCCTCGCTTCATTTCCAACCAGCAATGGCCATTTTGGACTATTTTGGAAAGAAAGGTTGGCACTAAAAAACACCAAAGTGTCGATCACCTCAAGCAAGCGCTTCGCCGTGAATGGGCCAAAATACCGCAGAGCAACATTCGGGTAGCATATAAAGGTTTCATTGGCCGTTTAAAGGCCATAATTCGTGCCAAAGGTGACCAGTTTGAATAAATCTTAAAGTATTCTAAAATTTGATGCTATTTCCACATTTTTGCTTTCATTAAATAAAATTAAAAAACAAATTAAAAATTATGACGTTTGACTTTTTGCAGTGTTTTGTATCACCCTGTATGTACGATTGTAATGAAATTAGGAATGTGTGGCAGTATTTGGTACAAAAATAAATTTGACAAAATATATTCAAATCGGTTAAGGTTTGGATGTAGCTCCCATATATATTTCGGCTGATTTCATGTATTTTGTGCACCAAACACAATATATGTCAATGAAATTCCGAAAGTGTGGTGGAATTTGGTATAAAAATTAGTTTATGGCCATGACTGGCGAAATAGCTTATATCAGCAGGTACAAATGGACCTGCATTGAAATATACTGTAACCCTAAATTCGAATTGCTTATGAAACACTTGGGCATCACACCGACGAATTGTTTTACCCTTCCATGTTTTAAAGTGGGTACATAAAGTGTTAATATGATTCTGATATAACTGCGATTGGAAGATCCATTTTTTTTTTCTCATAAATTAATTTCAATCTATTATATAATCTCACAACAAACATATTCACCCAAATCGTTTTAACATAAAATAGTCATAAATTTCATCCTGCTTCCAGAAATATATAATCAAATTAAATGCATTCTAGCGCCAATTAATTAACTCGATGATAGACATTGGGTGGTGCCTTTGTGAAATTCCCATTGTTTGGCAAGTTTTTCTGTGGAGGAGAATCGAGTTAATTATTATTTATAGTAGCCGCAAAAGGAATATCTCTGCAGACAGCTTATTGGGAATAAAATTTGCCTAAATTTCAAAAACTGGCTGGAACTACAACTACCCGACTGCTACTATTCTTGTTCGACCAGATGTTATAGCCAAACATTCGA